TTAACGTGAAATAAGAACTCCCAAGAGGCTTAAATAATCACCATCGGGCTGACACTAACATCTAAATATGCAAAGACTTCACAACCAGGCATCAAATAACTCCTCTCTTCTGTTAAAAAAATCCAACAACAACCCAACACAGTATACGAACAAAAAAACACCATCAATAAAAAATTAAAACACAAAGCCCACACAGATAAAATCAAAACAAACAACTGATCGTAATCTATCCCTAATACTAAAGCACGGATTAACTCTGTGGGTTCACCCTCACAATGCGCTTTCTTCTCATGTCATAATACGCTTTTACGATTTATATGGATAAAATCGTAATATAAACGAGGTGGTACTAATAGCAGCATGATTGTCAGGCTGTCCGTTGGCCAGCTCGGCCCAGCAGTGCAATGCGAGGAGGTACGTGGGCCTGCAGGATGTCCATTGGCCAGCTCGGCCTAGCTCCAGTACAACACTAGGAAGAAAAAAGATACTCCCTCTGTTCCTAAATATTTGTCTTTTTAGAGGTTTTAAATGATGACTACATACGGAGCGAAATGAGTGAATGTATACTTCAAAATATGTCTATATACATCCGTATGTGATGACTATTTGAAATCTCTAGAAAGACAAATATTTAGGAACAGAGAGAGTACTTGCAAGAGGAATCGAACTCAAAACCTTGCAGGCGATACGTTTGACGCCAACCAACTGAACTATGTCCATCTATGTTGATTGGATACGGTTGGTCTTATTATCAATTAGTACCACCTCGACTTTTTACAAGCACAGCCATCAATTTATATACGCGTTCAAGTTACCTGTCATCAATCACCTTAATAAGTCGGCTTGCAAATTGGTGATCGGAGGATGACGAGTGGGTGCCCAGAAAGGAAGTAATGATGAAGAAAGGAAGGATTCTTGAAAAAGGAAGAAAACATCAAGGATAAATATGGTGGGCAATCAAACAAACGGGGCAAGAAGGAATCGGTACTATGTGGGATAATTAAGAGACGGCCTAATTGGATGCTTTAGAAAGATGGGCAATTAAACAAGGCAATTAAGAGATATTCCTTCCTAAGACACGCCTGCATAATATAATACGATTCCTAAAATGCACGGTTCAAAAATATGATGGGCAATTAAACAGCGATATTAAAAGAGATGCCTCGGATAAATAAGAAATGGAATTCAGGCTAATTAAGTGTTGGGGCAGATTTTGTGTGCTAGCTGATTATAAGTTTATCTCTCTCTCTCTCTCTCTCTCTCTCTCTCTCTCTCTATATATATATATATATATATATATATATATATATATATATGTATGTATGTATAGCTATTTTTTTATTATTAAAGCAAGGTGATATTCTTAGTTTCGTCCTGCATTTGATCCTACCTTACATGAAATACATGCGGTGGTACTAATTTCTATAGCAAAGTTTCATATCGGCTATTAAAAAGGTTCGTATAAGCTGGGTTGGGCCTGCGTTCCACTGGGGCCTTTACACGTACGTTGTGATCAAGCCCCCCAGGTTGTTTCAGTATTGCTTCTCAAGAAAAAAAAGATTGTTTCAGTTTTTTTTTTGGTAAGAATCCTACCTTCTCCCGCAAGGGATTGAGCAGGCAATCGAGCTCCTTCCGTTTTCTATGCCCTTCCATAAGTTGTTTCAGTTTTCTTTTTCTAAACAAAAAACCTGTCGTCCGGCTGGGGCTTATGGGCCAGTAGACACGTCTCAGCTTTTAATGGAATCAAAAAAAAACTTCTCAACTAGCGTAGGCCTGTATGTGATGCGTTTTTTTGTCAATAGTCCCACCTTGCTCAGTTAAACTGATTACCATCAGTTTATATACTTTCTCAAATGATTGCCATTAGTAGCCTTGGGAAATAATCAGTGAGCTCATAAAATGGGATTAGCAAAACAGTTTGTGAACTACAATAGAGTTTACTGATTCATACAATGTTTGCTAATTCAGAAAATATTCATGAATTTAAAAAAAATGTTCGTCTATTCTAGAACTGTTCAACGATTCTAAAGAAAATGCTTAAAAACCATCCGAATATTAAATAATTTTCATGATTTTAAAAAATATTCGCAAATTCATAAAAATGTTCATGAATGATCGAAGGTATGTAGTTAAACAGTAATGCTTCTGAATGTTTGTGACTATATACCCGCATGAATTTTAAAGAATTAACTACCGGGGTGGATTGAAATATTATGGTATGTTTTTTAAAATACGCTTCTTGACATTCAGAATAATTCTTTGAATTACCAAGTTTTTTGACAACCACGATATTATTTCAAAAATATGCACATTGCTTTGATTTGTGAATAAATTTAGAAAAAAGAAACATTTTAATGTATTTATGAACAAAATTTTGAAATCATGCGATGAGACGTGAATAAAATGTGGTCATCGTGATTGAACATTATGATTTTTTTCTCCGTTGCAACGCGTCGGACCCTTTTTTCCTAGTAATCTATAGATATAAGAAAAGTTAATTCACTAGTGAAGAACGGCGCCGCGAAGCGCGCGTTAGCCCCTAGTCCTTTACGGGGTCGAAGCTCCATGGCCTGGAGCGAGAGAGCAGACTCTTGCCCTCTCCGACAATGGCTTGGTGTGTTTAGTGTGTCAGGTCCGATGATTTCCCTATGTCGCATGGCTTGGAGCAAGAGAGCAGACTCTTGCCCTCTCCGACAATAGCTTGGTGTGTTTAGTGTCGGGTCCGATGATTTCCCTATGTCGCATGGCCCGGAGCGAGAGAGCGGACTCTTGCCCTCTCCAACAATAGCTTGGTGTGTTCAGTTTGCCGGGTCCGATGATTTCCCTATGTCGCGTGGTTCAGTTCCAGTTTGGTAGTCTTTATAGCATCTTCTTAGGTGTGGTGTCCCCTGGTTTCATGCTTGGCTTCGGGTTGATGGCGTTCTCACCATCAACTTGATTGTCATTTTCCTAAGTTTTGACTTGCTTTTAGGGCATTCTCTCCATCACCAGTATCAGTTTGACCGTTTATGCTTTTACATAAAGCAAGGTGAAAGCCCATTTCGAGAAAAATTCGAATTGTCAGGCGCTAAAACTAGGTTCCCGGGAGTTTGCCAAGGTACTCAGATGTTCCAAGCCATTCAGAGACACCTCAAGAATGACAGCTACCTCGAAGGTAGCACACGTGAACACTCTGGAGATAGCAGACATGATCAACAACATCAAAGAACAATCAAGCTCTACCTCTGCACCTTCCTATATCACTCCCAAAACCTCCTCTACCTCTACTAAACCCACCACGAGAACTTGCAATACCTCTAATAAAAAAACGTCTTCCTCTTCCTCAGAGGTACCAGTATCAGAAAAATTCTCATGGACAAACTCGGGATCAAGGCACTCGGACAATGCACTCTTGCCTTGATTCCCCATTCTGGATTTTAGCATCAAAGGGAAACCGTAGTAGCAATAAAAAGATCACACCTAGCTTGTTAAAGTCTCTGAATAGCAACAAAAAAAAAGAAGTCAAATATCATTAACAGTTTTGTCCATCTCTACATTAATACTCCCTCCGTTCCATATTTAGTGTCGTATTACCAAGATTTACTCCTATTGAACTACAAAACGTTGTATATCTAGTTACAGAGGTACTTCCTCCGTCCCACAATATAAGATCGTTTCTCAAGCTAACATATTTTGAAAAACATTCTTATATTACGGGACGGAGGTAGTATCTTACAAGCCATGTCATGTAAATTGGACCGCGCAGAATTTGAAACACTAGGGAAACACAGTAGTACCCACCACTATCTCCAAATTCTTGTGCTTCACTCTATTGACAGCCTTACCCATAACCTTCTGATCAATATCTGTTCTGCCGCTTGACCTCCTTTCCTCCATAGATACATCTTTTACCTTTGTTCCTCCTTAAGTTTTCTTTCTTTCAACTCCATCACCCAGCTTGGACTCTAACACATGATCACCATCTCCATCTCCATTATCAGACTGTCCATTACCAAAACTTTATGATACAACACCTTCGTTCATCTCTGGTAACTTCTATCCTAAATCCTAAATTCATGGCATAAGCCTCAGCATCCATATCCTCTGCACCTTCTAATCCCAGATAATCAGAGCCATTCTCTTCAACATTCTCACTAGCATCATAGTCCACCTATGCCTCCCCCTCTTCCTCACGATCACCTTCTACATCTGTCATATTTGTATCCAGAGAACTTTTCTTATTTTGCTCTCAGCAGACTGGTTCAAACTATACCCTGCTCTGGATTTCCTTAGAAGCCTTTTTCTTTAGAATTTTTTTCTCATTAAGCTCCAACTCCATTAGCTGATCTGAACCAGGTTGACTGGAAGGAACCTCATCACACTCATAGAAGCAATGGATTGAGGAACACAACTCCCCAGCACTGTCTTATCGTTCTCCATGCTTGTTGGATAATGACACTAAACTGTTCTTCCGGGGAAAGGTGGTCATTCAGAAGTAATATGTGTAGCATTAGGATAAGCAAGCCTTTGTAGTTTATGTGTTGTGGAATTGTGAAGTACTGTTATTTAACTATGTTTGTTTTAAACCCCTAAAAACTCAAACTGATGGGCAGAACCAGTGACTTGGTAGAAACATCTGCCAGTCTGTGATCGCTCGCCAGTCAGTGTAGACTACCCCTCGACGGACTGGAGGTTAACAACAGGTGCTAGACCCGTTAACTTGTTAACTTGTAACTCAAAAGAGTACACAAAGTTTTCAAACTGCAGGAACATGAGGAAAATGGGCACTCCTATATATCGACTGAGAGGATAAACTCCATTATTTTCCTATTGCCAAAGTAATGCATCTGGCTCACGACTAAAAAAAAAACTTGTGACAACTTAATACCATCTAATCATCACGGACTTGAAAAAAGGTCTTTCAAAAGAGCACATATCTGATCCCATCCCAAATAACAGCCACGCTCAAATCCTTTTTGTTTTCAAAAATTGAAGTTGCCCTTAGAAAAACAAACCTCCAATCACATGGAGGTCCATCCCTTTGCAGCAGGAAGAGGTGGGATGCTCTGCTCATTTCTAAAGAAGTCATCAGGATCCACCATGGCCTTGACTGCTGCCAACCTCTCAAAATTGCCCTTGAAGTACTTCTCCCCCCAAACTCCAGCCTTTGCATAGCTGGTCACATTGTCGCCCAATTCATTCCTGCCAAGATCCAGGTCTCTGTAGTTCACATACCCTGTTCTTGGGTTCTTGGATACATATGGCTCCATCTGCTTGTACAGACCCCTGACCCAGGCCATATGCTTATCAAACGCATCTGTTCCATTCTCAGACCAGGAGGAGTAGTATTGTAGGTTGTACAGATTCCCCTTCCGGTGCGGGAAAGGTGTCGCAGACGGCGCTCCCCATTCTGCCACCGTAGGGATCTAAGATGAGGATCCCGGCCTCCTGCTTCGCCAGCCATGTCCATGTGCTCTCCCAGGCGTGCAATGGGATTGGCACTTGCACGTAGTCGGACTTGGCTTTCACGTAGCTCTCCGGCTTGGTACCCCTGTCTAAGAGCAGCTCTAATGGCTTGGAGCTGGAGTGGAACGCGAAGTACACGGTGGATTGGATCCAGTTGATCTCCTCGCAGTCAGCTCGCACCATTCCAAGATCAGAGAAGTGAGCTTGCATGAGACTGGCGAGGTGGCCACATCGGCCAAGAAACAGGGACTGAAACTGAGCCTCCTGGTTATGCACGATGACCCGTAGATATAGGTCCGGGGGGCAGGGCCGGCGCGATCTCTTGCCATTTGGCTATGAGATGGGTGGCAGATTGGTTTCTTGACCGACGGATGGTGAACACCGTGACCGACTCCGGCACGCGCACGAGCCGGAGCTTCCAGGACAGCACGACGCCGAAGCTCTCGCCGCCGCCACCCCTGATGGCCCAGAAGAGATCTTCACCCATGGCGGTCCTGTTCAGGAGCCTCCCGCCGGCGTCCACGAGGACGGCGTTCAGGACGTGGTCGGCGGCGAGGCCGTACCTGCGCATTAGCGTGCCGAAGCCGCCGCCGCAGAGGTGGCCACCGACGCCGACGGTGGGGCAGACCCCGGCGGGGAAGGCGAGCGCGCGGCTCGCGGCGGCCACGGCATAGTAGAGCTCGCCGAGCGTGGCGCCGGACCCGACCCAGGCCTCGGCGCGCGCGGGGTCGACGCGGACGGCGCGGAGCGCGGCGAGGTCGAGCAGGGCGAAGGGCTCGCGGGGGTCCAGGGAGAGGTAGGAGAGGCCCTCGTAGTCGTGCCCGCCGCTGCGCACGCGCACGCGGACGCCGTGCAGACGGCCGCAGCGCACGGCGGCCTGGGCGTGGGAGGCCTCCCCGGCGGCGACGATTGCGAGAGGCCTTGGGGTTCCCGGCGTGACGAATCGGAGGTTCCGGACGGAGGAGAGCAGGAGCGGGGAGTAGGACGGGGAGGGCGGGGTGTGGAGGAGATGAGGCGGGATGGCGGCGGCGAGGCAGCGGAGGAATGCATCAGCGGCGGAGGAAATGGATGTGTTGCAGGGGAGGATGCAAAGGGCCAGGAGGAGCCGCAAGATTGCCTCTGTTCTTGACATGTTTGATGCTGCCAGTATGTGGGAGCAACTCTCGGTCGGTTTGGATGCAGAGAAACATCCGAATCCGACGTTTAGCAACGCATGTTCATGTTCTGCTCACATGCTTAATCTCCTCTATTTTTAAAAAAAACTTTCTATTTATTCATTTTCAATTATGTCTATACAACAAACACCCAAATTAAAAATAATTACACTCAAATCCGTAGACCATATAGCGACGCCTACAAGCATTGAAGTAAACTGAAGGCGCGTCATCATCATCGCCTCTCCTTCATCAAAGCCGGACAAAACTTGTTGTGGTAGACAATCGAGAAGTCGTCGTGGTAAGGTTTGATAGGACCAGTGTAACAGAATAACAACCGCCGCCATGAAGAGACACGTAGATCGAAAGGATCCAACCCAAAGACACACGAACATAGACCGAATCCGAATAAATCCACCAATGACAACCATCGATCGAATCCCGCGAGATCCCCCGAAGACACATCTCCACACGTCCTCCAACGATGCTAGATACACCACCGGAACGGAGGCAAGGCGGGAAGAACCTTATTCCATTTTCAGGGAGCCGCCGTCATCTCGCCTTCATGAACAGAACACAAACACTATCAAAACATAAAAAAAACACCTAGAAACAAAGCACTCCCGCTACCAAGGGTGGGATCCAGCACGCCTCCATGGCCATAGAGCCACCGAAGACGGCGGACCGGTGGCGGCTCCGGCGGGAGGTAATGGAACCCTCACATGCTTAATCTCCTTCCCATGGTCTCTTCTAATCTACACAACCGCACTTTGTTTGGAGATAAGCTCTATCAAAAAAGTATGTGTTGATGTTGTGCTTCCATTCAGGCGGTCGGTTCCTGATTTTGTGGACTGTAAATCTTCAACTTTGTGTTCATGTTTGCAGCTTTTAAGACGAATTTCAAAAAATTCTTCGCACACATTCGGCAGTTTGAAATTTTCTCCCACCATTAGCTTTATCTCGCTATTTCACATGACTTTCGTGTTGTATATTTTCTATTCGACGGTCATAGACGACTAGATTGGCATTTCCCTACTGCATTGCACATGTTTGTTCATGTGTGTATGTTATGTTGGACGAATTTTGCAAATTCTTTGCACATGTTCAACTATTTAAAATTTATTTGAGCACTGGCTTCATTTCGTTGTTTCACATGATTTTTGTGACGTACATTTTCTGTTTCATCGGCCGTAGACTATTAGATCTACATCTCTCTACTGGACTGCACAAACATGTTCATGTGTGCATTTTATTTTGGACTAATTCCATCAAATTCGTTGCACACAGCCAGTCATTTGGAATTTTCTTTGACTACTAGATTCATCTCTTTGTTCCACACAACTCATATGTTGTAAGTTTCTTATTTTGGGGCTCATAGAAAAAGTTCTTCAAGTGTAGTAGTGTGAGATAAATTTACCACGTGAAGACGAGGTGAAATGAACCATCCGTGCGCATGCAAACCAAACAACGGCATGTTGCATCTAGGGAGAAAATGATTTTAGCCAAATATCCATGTGTGTGATTCTTCTGAGGCAGATTAGAGGAGATGCATGCAATCAAACTTGATGCACAACATAGCCCATTGGCTATTTTTTCCTCGGCCAAGCTCCACTAGACTAGGCTAATCAAAAATGCAAAAATGATGCGAGTAACAAAACATGTCCTAATGAACTCCCAAAACCCAAACTAAAAGGGAGATGGAAAAGGGAAAGGGAGGTCTAAATAATTGTTTCAAGTGTCGCGGACAACTTGAGAAGCTCATACATTGATTGATGCAAGCGGATGTGGAATATATTTTATTGACTGGCCGGCCATTTCAGACGCTAGAGCTCTTCGGGATGTGTTGATCCTAGTAGGTAATATTGGCCGTAACAAATTGATTGTTGAAGCGGATGGTTGAAGTGATTGAGATGGTGTAGAATGGTGTCTATTCGATCGGACTTGTAGTGACCATCCTTGATGATTGTAACTTTTACTTAGTCGCAATTTTGATTATATTAGTTTTTCTCATTGCCCTAGGAAGCCAGTACAATGACACATGTTTTAGCTAGTCATGGTGAGGGTTCCTTGAGAATTGTATGGGACATGGAACCCTCGACTTTTTGGTGCATGTAATAATTTACACTGTAACTATTTTGCCAAGATAATGAAATCCATCAAGAAGCCTGGTTGGACCAGCAAAAGGTCATTTAAAAAAATATTAATTTCTCAGATTCCCAATCTTCTTCATTCTCCCTTCTTGATTAGACACCCCCTTTGAACCAACGCCGTGATACCCTTCTCTTTGCAACTACTTGAGTGAAAACCTTCCTATTTCAAATACCAGCCGCCCCTTGTATTCTGGTTAATTCTTTGGAAAATGTTATGTTATGTGCACATCAAAATTTTGTCTCCTAGGAGCTCTGGAGAACATGCTTAATTTGTCTCTGAACTAGTGTTTGTTCAGAGCAAATGCCTCTAAGTTCAAGGTGATGGATCAACCTCTGCAGAATCAACAAAGATGTGATGTTCTTGTTGGGGATCGTAGCAGAAATTTAAAATATTCTATGCATCACCAAGATCAATCTATGCAGTAATCTAGCAACGAGAGGAAGGGGAGTGCATCTACATACCCTTGTAGATCGCTAAGCGTAAGCGTTACTAGAACGCGGATGAGGTAGTCGTACTCGTAGCGATTCAGATCGCGGTCGATTCCGATCTAAGCGCCGAACAACGACGCCTCCGCGTTCAACACATGTGCGCCCGGTGACGTCTCCCATGCCTTGATCCAGCAAGGAGAGAGGGAGAGGTTGGGGAAGACTCCGTACAGCAGCAGCACGACGGCGTGGTGGTGGTGGAGGAGCGCGGTACTCCAGCAGGGCTTCGCCAAGCACTACGAGAGACGAGGAGGGAGAGAGGTAGGGCTGCGCCTTGGGAGAGAGAGACTCGCGTGTTGTGCAGCCCCAAAACCTCCACTATATATAGGGGCAAGGGCAAGGGGAGGTGCCCTAGGGTTTCCCCTAGGGGGGCGGCGGTCAGGGCAGATGGGATCTCCCCCTTGGGTGACTTGGCCCCCAAGCCAGGAGGTGGGAACCCTAGATGGGGCGCCCCAAACCCCCTGGTCACGTGGGAATAGGTGAGGGGGGGGGGGGCGCACAACCCCTTAGTGGGCTGGTTTGCCCCCTTCCCTTGGCCCATGAAGCCCCCAAACACTTGCCGGGGCTCCCGAAACACCTTTCGGTCATGCTGGTCATCATCCGGTACCTCCGGAACACTTCCGGACTCCAAAACCCTTCGTCCAATATATCAATCTTCACCCCCGGACCATTTCGGAACTCCTCGTGACGTCCGAGATCTCATCCGAGACTCGGAACAACATTCGGTAACCGCGTACATACTTTCCCTATAACCCTAGCGTCATCAAACCTTAAGTGTGTAGATCCTACGGCCTCGGGAATAATGCAGACATGACCGAGACATCTCTCTGGTCAATAACCAACAGCGGGATCTGGATACCCATGTTGGCTCCCACATGTTCCACGATGATCTCATCGGATGAACCACGATGTCAAGGATTCAGTCTATCCCGTATACAATTCCCTTTGTCTACCGGTATAGTACTTGCCCGAGATTCGATCGTCGGTATCCCTATACCTTGTTCAATCTCTTTACCGGCAAGTCTCTTTACTCGTTCCGTAACA